TGCAACCCAGACCCCAGGCAAATGGATGGACTTCAGGTGCACCCAACTCCGAGCAGCTGGCTGCCACCCTGCCCCTGCCCAGCACACCTGCGCGGGCTGGCCCAGAGCCCTGAACTGAAGCCAGCCGAAAGACGTCATGGGGTGGGGGCAGGGTGGGGGAGCGGGGTCTAGTGGGTGGGTAGGAAGAGGATTTCTCTAAGGGTTGAAGCTGTCTATACCCTGAGACGGAGGGACCAGCCACTTTGTGAGTCCCTGCGTGGAGGTCGGCCAGCACAACCAGGCCCGCCTGTGAGGGCTACTTCACAGGCACGGAGTGGGGCTGGGCTCGGGTCCCGCAAAGCAGGGCTCACATTGGGCCTCCTGGGGGGACCCAGGATCAGCATGACCTGGGAGGTTAGAAATGCAGGCTCCTGGGCCTCCTCCAGATTTGCTGAACCAGGATCTCAGAGGGGCACCCAGGAACCTATGCGCCCAGGGGTTCTTACACGTGCTCAGCATTGAGAACTGCTCGGAGGTGCTGCTAACACACCCCGATTCTGCCGTGCCCTACTTCTCAGCACCCGGCAGGCATTTCCGTCCAGCCCAGGGCAAACAACCAATTCGACAGAGGAGGACCCGCCCCCTCCATCAAGGCTCAGTAAACTCTGTCCCCAGCCTCGGCTGAGAGGATGCACAAGCCCCCATGCCAGGGCACACTGAGAGGCCCACCACACTTGGGGCCCCTTGGGAGCAAAGTGTCCCCAACCCACAGAAGCTGTACCGCTTGGGGCAAGAGCAGCAAAAATCTGACCGGGGCTTTCCTCTCGGCACGGCTAAATGGAGGAAGGGAGGAGCTGGGGTCTAAAGCAGCCACCAGCCAAGACACAGGGAGAGGCCAGACCCCCCTCCGCGCCCCCACCCCCAGCCTTGGTGGCTTGTATCACATGTTCCTCCCCACAGGCAGAGATAAGTGGGCCCCGGGACCGCCTCTCCAGCTCCTTAAGGTGCCTGCTCACACCCTCTCAGAAGCTCTGGGGCCCAGCACAACCGTGGCCCTTCCTGATGTCACCCCAAGGATGTGCCATGATTCCGGCCGCAAACCTCCACTGCTGGAGGACTTCGCATGGGTCTCATCAGTGGGTGCGTGTGTTTAAAACAACCTGACACAAGATTCTGGCCTGGGAACAGCAGTAACAGTGGCCACGGGGCAGACCAGGGTCCCCAAACCCTCCCTGGGCCTGGCTCAGGGCTGAGGACCCAGGAAGGGGCCCTCCGTTGCACTTTTCAAAGTGGAGAAGGCACAACTCTTAGCATGAGACCGCGCCAACGGTGCTCACCCCTGGCAGAGGGAAAAGCCTGGTTCTCTGCCAGAGGCCAGGCCCCGGAGCAGAGGAAGCCACAGTACCCAGGAGGACGGATCGCCGTCTGTGCTGGCTCAGGAACAAAGGCTGCTGGCCTCCGGGCGGGGGGTGGGGGGTCAGGGCCACCACCACCTCCCTTTGCAGAGCACCTACTGAGCGCCCGGCATGGTCCTCTGCCCTTTCCCTGCCCTCTTCATTCAAGCCTCGCAAACGCCCTCCTTGTAGGTACCGGTACCACCTCCATTTCCGTTTACCGTGAAAGGAGTTGATCTTAGTGAGGTTAAGCGCCTTGCTTTAGGTCTTCCGGCTCAAGCAGGGGGTATCAGGATTCAAATCTGGGTCTGACTCCAGGGGGCCGTTCTCTGGCACTGTGTCCCTTGGCCATCCGACTCGGAGGCACAATGAGTGAGTGACGGAGACAGAAGTAGGGTGCGCCTCAGGGCAATGCGTTTTTATCACGCGAGGGCAGAGCGGGTGTGGGTGGCTCTGGGAATGCAGACCCACGGCCCTCAGCTGTAACTTAGCAACCCAAGGCTTCCTCCGTGGGACTGGATCTCACCAGCCAGGCTCCGAGCTGCGTGCGGTGGCAGGAGGCGCAGGGCGCTGTGCCACTCTCTCCGCCAAGGGGACCCACTGGGGACCCACTGCTGTGACCATTGTCCCTCCCGCGCTGGTGCCATGCTGAGAGGGGTAAGCCATCAATTTAGAGCTGAAAGAGCCCTTAGAAATGATTTGCTACAACTCTGGTTTGGAAAAGAGGTCTTGAGAGGCAGCGAGAGCCGTCACAGGCACAAGATGAGAACAGTGGCACCTGGCTCAGCCCGCGGCTCCTCCCCACGCCCAGGCTTGCGGGTGGGCCTCCTCGCCTCCCAAAAGCAGACGGCAGGCCCAGAGAGAGGAAGCCAGTTCTGAGACCCTTCCCAGCCCCTACACAAGACAACTCTTCTTCCCCCCAGCCCCGTGGGTCCTCACTTCAGCCACCTCTTCCTCACACTGCATCGCCCAGACTCACCCAGTGGGCAGCCTCCTCCAGCCTCACACAGGACCTCACACAGGGACAAACACACAGCCGGGCTGCTGGGTCCCGCCTCTGCTCCAAGCGGTGTGAGAACACCCTGGCCCTGAAAGGGCAGGCTGCCTCTGGTCCCGGTTGTGCTTCAAAAGCCGCGAAGACCGGGAGGTGGGGAGTTAAAAGGCACCGTTCCCGGAGCTGAGATGCCAGCATGGGAGCTCCTGTCCTGTCGCTTAGCAGCACTGTGACTCTAGACCATCTCTTCTTCTTCCTTTCGACCTACAGAGAGCTCTACATAATTAATATCTACACCTTGATGAGTTAGGAGATATGTACACACCAGTGAATCCATCACCGTAATCCATATGCCACAAACCTACCCATTACCTGCAAAAGCTTCCTCCTGCCCTCTTATGATTCCTATTATTTTTTTTTGTGTGATGAAACCCTTAGCACATCAGATCTATCCTCTTAGCTAATTTCAAGTATATAATAACACAAAAATCATCACCTATAGGCACTATGCTGTACAGTAGATCTGTAGGATGTAGTTATTTGTGGACCTGAAACTTTGTGTCCTTTGACTAATACTTTCCCGTTCCCCTTCCTCCAGGCCCCGGCAACCCTGTTCGACCCTCTGCCTCTACGAGTTTGGCTCTTTTGGATCCATCACTTAAGTAGTGTCACGTGGTATTTGTTCTTCTGTGTCTGCCTGGGCCAGTTCTTGACCCCTGCCAGCCTCCACTTCCTGATCTGAAAAACAGCACAACGATGCCTACCCTTCAGGGTGGTTTTGTGATTTCAAAGAGACGGTACAAGCGAAGCACACTGTCCGACAATTCCTTTTATACTATTATTCTTGACCGTAACAATGACATAGCGACTCCTATCCACTGGCCCGCACTCCCCGCCTGGCACAATGTTAAGTGCTTTACATGAATTATCTTGTTTGTTCATCTCACATTTGAGGATGCAGGCGCAGAGTCGTTAAGTAAATTGCTCAGTGTCACACAGCTATTAAAGGGGGGAGCTGGGATTCAAGCCCAAGTCTGACTCCAAAGCCTATGATGACATTTGTGGGTCCCCTTTCAGAGTCATCATTTCATCCCATTTAAAATGCCCCTCAGGTGGTGAGCGGGTCCTGGAGGGGCAGGGCCACCAACAACCAGACTGAGAGTGACGAGGATCCTTGGGGAATGGAGCATTTGGTAATTTCATTTTCCAGTTAGCTCAATATAGTCACTAAAAGCCTTTGTTTATAGCTAAATATTTTCGAAAGCAAAGCTTAGAGCAAGAGCTTGCCAACCAGAAGGCCAGTTTGAAAAAAGCTGCAGCTGCTTTGACAGCCCACCACGTCCTGGCCACCAGGATGCTCCCACGTGTGCCGGAACCTCGCCGCCAGCGCTCCTCCCCACCTCGCTGAGCGTCTCCGCTCCCCATTTTCCTCGCCTCTGGGGGCCCGAGGCTCTGAACCGACGGGCTGGCCACCCCCCGGGGAAGAGAGTTCCTTCCTGGCTGTGCCTCCACCGGGGGCTCAGGTTCCCGTCAGGGATGTGAAAAGAGGAACTGGAGGGTCTCCGAAGCCTGGACAGCAGAGAGGGCGGCGAGTTCCGGCGCAAACTCAGACCCGGCCTCCAGGCTCGCCGCTGGCATTTTCTACCCTTGGCGACCACATGTGCTGACAACTGCCCAATGGTCATCGTAGGCCAGGCCCCGGGCTGAAGACTCGTTGGGATTATTTCATTTAATTGTCACAGACACGCAGTGATGATGGTACTTTTATTCCCATTTTGCAGAGGAAGAAACAGGCTCACAGAGGATAAGTGACTTGCTTACGGGCACACAGCGGGTGAGAGTCGGATCTGAACGTCCAGCACGGGTAACAGTGAACATCCGGTGAAGGAAGGCTGTCCTACCAGAGCTCTCAGCCACTAAGTCCGTTAGCCCTACCTGGGCGGGTCTTGCCCCGGCCAGGAGTAAGCTTTGCGGGTTGGTCGGCATAAAATAAACAGACACTGGGCGCCCACCACCAAGTGCAGGGCTTTGGCCCGAGGACCTCAGACTTTGGCGGCAGATCTCCATCAGAGACCTGGAGAAGGGTTCCTACACCTGGGGTCCGGAGTCCATGGGCCCCTCCTTCAGAGGCCACCCAGGCACTGTCAAGCAGGCGTGTCTTATCACCAGTCTCACAGTAGGTGCCTTGTGGAGCCCCAAGTAGCCAGGGATCGGCTGCAGGCCTGTCCAAGTACTGCTTTCTAGGGGAGCTCGGGAGGCCCAGGCCCTCTTCGCTCACCTCGCCGGGGCCCCCGCCACCTGCGTCTCACGCGCACCATCATCTCCCAGGTAAAGCGCTCGGGGACCCGCTGCCAGCGCCTGCCCCGAGCCAAGGACTTCAGCGGGCACGGTGCGGCTCGCACCACCAGGACCCTCAAGGTCCACCCCTCCCATGACCCCTACTACCTCCCGCGCCTCCTTCAGCCCTCATTCCACGTCACCCCTCCGTTCTGCAAACTCCCCTGGGCTCCCCTTCACCCAAGGGCCAGGCGATCCCGTCGTCCACTCCCCGGGGAGGTCCAGGGGCCCCTCACTCAACTCCAAACCCAGCCGGGTCGTGGAGACCTCGCCAACCTCGAGCGCGCGCGTCTCACCCGCAGCTGGGGCTCCGCGGGGCTGAAGCCACCTCTGCTCGCGCGTCCAGGAGTGCTTTCTGCGGCGACAGCTCTGGCTGACTCCGCCGCTGCAACACCGCCCCGGCGCCTGCCCAAAGTGGGGAGGCCCAGGCACCGAGCTCAAGCAGCTCCGCGCCGTCCCATCTGCCACCGCCGGGCTCGCGGGTGCCCGCCGCGCGCCTGCCAGACAGGCGAGCCGGGCGCGGGAGTCCCTGCGTGTGCGCAGGCTCACGGGCACAGCCTCCCGGCCCTCGCCCAGAACGCTCTCCGTGGCTCCGGAATTCTGGGAATTGTAGTTTGAATCGGAGAACAAACCGGCTTTCCAATCCGCGGGATCCTGGGAGTTGTAGTTTGCTTCGGGAGAGGCTGTTTTACTTGGTGTTAAGTTTATACAATTATGGGAGTCCTGATAATAAATTTAAATGCAAATTAAACCAACAATCAGAAGCTATTTTAAAAATCAAAGTAAGTATTTTTCCGTTTATAATGCGCACTTTTTGCCCAAATTTTTGAAGGAAAAATAAGGATGCGCATTATACATGGGTATAATGATTCCATGCCATAGGTATAATAGATAATATAATCCCGTATATAATGATCACAAAAATAATATCATATCATATATAACAATCCCATGTATAATGCACACAAAAATAATGTTATTACATTATATTTTATATATTTTTTATTATCTTACATTATTTTTATATATTACATTATATTCCTTGTTACAATCTATGTAACAAAAATGTGGGTATGCATTATACACAGCAAAATATGGTAATAAGTTCACGTACTTTAAAAATTGCAGTGTGACAGGTTACTTAAATACAAAACACCATTCCTCTTGTGCGGCGCCTTAATCTTCTCAACCTCACCCAAACCCACCGGGACTGACCCGCTCCTCAAGGGCAACCAATCCCAACTCTCACGGCTGCTGCATCTGGCATGTACTGCCACTGCTTGAAATATACATATGCCTTATTTCTTCATTTATGAATTTTAGGCCTCTTGGCTCTTTGCTAGGAGAGATTTGAATTTCACTCATTTCCTTTTTTTATTTATTGATCTTGGAGAGAGCAGGAAAGGGAAACATCGATTTGTTGTTCCACTTCGCTGTGCATTCATTGGTTGATTCTTGTACGTGCCCTGACTGGGGATTGAATCCGCAACCTTGGCTTATCCGGACGAAACTTAAATCAGCTGACCTACCTGGCCAGAGCCTGTTTTGATTTGAGGTTGAAAAGCGCCTGTGTTGAGTATTCGGTCCTCTGTAAGAAAGCCAGTGATGGGCAGCTGATGGAAAGGGACGCCAAACCGCCCAAGAGGAGGGTGGGGATTGTGTTCCAGTCAAAGCAGGATCTTCTGGTTAGGATCCCAAGAGGACATGACCTGTGGGTCCCTAGGACCCAGTTTGCAGACAATGATGATGTTTTGTTTTATGAGTTCATCGTATTTTAAAGACTATTCTGGCTCTGGAACATTAGGTAGGGTTTTATTTGTTGGCAGAAGCTTTAATAGACCGGAAGAAGCAAATACTTTCCTTTTAGTAAATATCCAAGGTGGGCTGGATAGCTGGCTTTCTGAGGTCTTGCCAATACTTTCAGTGAATCAATAATACTCACACAGCACCAAGCTGTGCTTGACATTCCTTTCAGCTGAGCCCTGCTGCCTTCCCCTGGAGTCACACTGTCTTTCTAGTTCTCTGTGTGAGTGACTCCCAGACCCACACATCTAGCCACACATTCCAAATCCACATTCGTGACCAAGTTGCCTGGGACACAGCTCCGCCGGGCTGGCCTGCCAGCATCTTCAAATCTATATGACAAACATATGATGGTAATACTGGGGATGGGTCTTAAAATATATCTGCACATTATTTTACTCTCCTTCCTTTAAAAGGTAGAGTCGAATTCCCTTTCCTTTGCATAACTTAGCGACTCAGTGGCAAAACTTAATGACTCACTTCTAATAGATAGAATATGTCAGAAGTGATGCTCCATGACTTCTGAAACTAGGTCATAAAAATGATACAGCTGCTGTGTGTGTGTGTGTGTGTGTGTGTGTGTCTGTCTTTGGAACTTAGCCATTGTGTTGCGAGGCAGCTCAGCCACATAAAAAGGACACACATGGCTTTATCAGTGAGGTCAGGCTGCCATCACAAAGTCCCACAGACTGGGGGGCTTAAACAACAGAAATTTACTCCCTTACCGTTCTGGAGGCTGGAAGTCCAAGATCAAAGTGATGGCAGGTTCGGGTTTTTCAGAGGCCCCCTCCCCACAGACCTCTCTCCATGGCCTCTTGAATGTCTTCATCACCAGGTGGTTTGCTTCCTCCCAGAGCAAGTGATCCGAGAGGCCAAGGCAAAGGCATACCACGTGACCTAGCTTCAGAAGCCTCCGAAGCCTTGCACGCTGTCACTTGTGCAGTATTTTATGGTACCATAGGTCAGCACCGGCTCCGTGAGGGAGGGGGCCAGGCAAGGATGTGAACACCAAGAGACGAGGATCGTCAAAGATCTTCTTGGCTACCACAATGATAGCGAGAGATGCCATCTGTTCAGCATCTATTACATGCTTGGCTTTAGATGGAAATGATCTCATTTAATCCTCATTACAACCTTTCGTAGTAGCTCATTTTTGTCCCTGGTTTACACAGGAGAGAACAGGCTAAGAGTCATTAAAAATCTTGCCCAAGGCCATGTAGTTTAGCAGTTGGAAGAGATACAGGTACTGAGCTCAGTGTGACCCTGTACCAGCCTCTCCTTTCTCTCCCTGGGGCTGAACCCTCCAAACTTTTCCACCCCTTAGCTCCCTCTCCCTCCCTGTTGCCAAGTTCTATAAATTCCTTCAATGTTTCCCCTCCTCCTCTTCCTTTTCCAACCTTGCTTCTACTGTCCTGATTCAGGGGGGTCCTATGTGTATTTGTTATTTCAAAAAAATAAGGTAAAAAAAAAGAAAGTACATGTCTGTTAAATTAATGAAAAAACTGTAACAACCTGTTATGACTCTACTCAGTTTGAAACTTGTATATCTATCAGGATATTTAAAAGGAACGCTCAGCCCTAGCTGGTGTGGCTCAGTAGACTGAGCGCCGGCCTGCGAACCAAAGGGTCGCCGGTCTGATATTTCTCTCCCTCTCTTTCTCCCTCCCTCCCACTCTCTCTAAAAATAAATAAATAAAACCTTGGGGGCGGGGGGAGGAATGCTCAGACTCAAAGCAAATGGAGAGGCAGAAAGCCAGATAATCTCAATGGTGTCTGTGCCCAAGACTGAGAGTGTGCCTGTTATTGGTCAGGACTCTTGAAGACCAGCGGGTTCCCCCTTCCCCCTCCGAGGAGGACGCTGCAACCCAGACAGGCGTCTGAGCCGTGCGGATGGAAATTTTCTGCGTGTCAGAGGTTGTCTGCCTGACGACAGCCTAAGGCTACCATGGTTGCCCTGTCGACTGCAGGGGCCTCTTAGTGTCAAACTCCATCTGAAGAGGGGCAGGTGGTGGTGCTTAATCGGCATGTCATGAGTGGGGGCGGCGGGGGGGCTGCTCAGGGACTCCAGCTGGCCTGTCTGTAATGACACAGCACTGACCGTGCAACGCAACGCGAAGGGCTCCCCTGGCGGCTCCGTTCACCTGAAGCTCCTTCCCAAGGAAAACTTGAAAGGGACTCGGGGGAGATTTGTCTGGGAACAGCCCCCTCCACGGGGAGGATCAAAACCTGAGTTACCATCCAGCTACAGCTTTGCCCTTTCTGGAAATGAACGGGGCATGTGGAGGAAAAGGGCTCACAGCTGTGCGGTTACAGACACGGGGGAGAGGTGATCGTCTTCCAGCCCTGAATGGCCAGTCACAGCCACAGCAGAGTGGAGGTTTTCATTTGAGAGTCTTCCCAGGGATGTGTTCTAAGTCTGTGCTGTGCTGTGGGCTGGTGGCGGGGAACACGCATGGTGAGTGTAACGGGAGCCCCCTCCCCGCTCCCCTCTCCCCATGGAGACACCAGAGGCCTCAGCACAGCGCCTGCGGCATCTTTCCTTCGTTCCCCGTCTGCCTGACTCTCAAGCAGCACCTGCTCTGGCTTCTCTGTCCCTCTGCCCCAGTCCTGGCTGTGGGACCCCTCTAAGTGGAGGGGTGCCTTTCGCGGGGAAATAGACATAGTTTGGAAGCCTTTGGGCCCGTGTCCCTGTGAGAAATTGCAGCAACTTGAAATAAGAGCCGAGTGCAATCCCAACACAGACGGCTCCGTCGGACCGGAGCCTGCAGCTTTCTCCAGAGGCCTCAGGGCAGCACCGTGGGGCTGTTCTGGGCCTGCTTGGTCGATGTGCAAGGGCTGGGAGGCCTCTCCTCTTCCCTGGCCCCATTCATTCACGCCATGGACATTGTCCCGACACCGCGTCCATGCCAGGCACTGTGGACACGCCGGGGATAAAAACAAGGCAGGACTGAATAGGTGTGCCCAGCAAACCAAGGCTCGGACCTTGCAGAGCCGTGACCTGGGAAAGTTCGGCTGAGGGATGCAGGGAGAGGCGTTTAGAAAGACTCCAACAGGACGCAGGAACAATGCTCTGGATAGAGTGTGTGGCGAGGGAGAAGGGGCGACTGAGTGTAGAGAAGGCGATCCAGGCAGAATGGCAGGGACCGCGGGTTTAGCCCACCTGGCACCCATTCTCCTTGCAGCTACGTGCCCTGGAGGTCTTACGGGGAGCCAGCGTCCTTCTACCTTAGTCCATGCGGTTTGAGTGGGCTGGCCTTGTCCCAGTGCCAAGGGTGGCCCATGACCCAGTCACATCCAATCATAGCAGTCCTACCCTTGACCACAGAATTTGGTTCAGAAGTGAGCATTGAGCCTCAATTCCAAGACTTGGTGGTATCTTCCGGCAAAGAGAAACCCTTTCCTCTGGGTCATTCAGGGTGTGGGCCTGGATATGCCAAGAGGCAATTTAAGGTGAGACCCTACTGCAGAATAAAAGAAGGGAGGAAAGAAATGAGGAGAAAATGAAAGAAAGTGAGGGGCCCTGGGAGCCCCTGGATCCAGCCGGACCTGAAGCTAAACATTCGGGCTTTTCAGAAACATGAACCAATCGATTTCCTTCCTCTTTCTCTCTCTCTGTTTTCCTTTTGAGCCAGGTTACCATCAGAGTTAGGAATGAGTCAGGCTGAGAAAAAGAGGGTATTGGAAAAGGGAAAAAGGGCACTTTCTCCCCTTTCCCACCCTTAAGTTCTCGAAAGATAAAGAGCTGCCTCCAAAGGAGTCTTGGGTGCAAA